AGGGCCCATAACCATCTGGCCTCTGAGCGGGATAGCAGGGTGGGAACTGGGATCTATGAAGGCCGTGCCCCCCTGCCATAGGAAGGGTGTGGCTGTCACTCCCGGACACAATGCCTAGCCGGCCAAGCAAACGTACGTAGCCAGAACACATGATTGTACTTAACAAATCTGTTCTCGACCATACGGTGGTGCATCTCCAATGCAAAACTAGGAAGCACACAATGGAGGCCCAATGGGAGATGTAGCCGGCCATTAGGCACATGGCAAATCATCGGGCGGCATGCTATCCTCGACAATTTACAAAAGCATGGAAAAGATAACACATGGTAGCCTAACACGGTAACACACGTATAATTACATGGCCCGGGACAGGAACGAATAAATAAGAACAGCCGATACACCTACATAAAATCTCAAGTTTTCATGTTTACAAAAGCCCATTATGCATCAACAAACAAGCCTAAGTACTACATATATCATGACGGCTTTGTATAGCAATATGAACATCCAGAAGAACTTTCAAGGCATGATTATTTCACGCTTCCAGGTAAGCTGTCAGGATGCCAGGCGATGGGTCGAGTGGAGCGGAGCTACTGGTTGGCTGCTGCACTCCTTTCTCTGCACCCGACCACCACACATCGTAAAGTCAAACCTTTGTCAAACTGATCCAAGGATATAGTTTGACTTCTGGTGCACAAATCGGAATTTAATTTCAAAGTTTAGACCGTAGATCAATATGATCAGTTCCGTTCGATTGAAATTGAACAGCTTCCGAAAACCTTGCCATGGCAACATTTCCAAAAACTTTGACATGGCAGCAAAACAGGCTGTCATGGCAACAATTTCGGCTCCTTTCCTAATTCTATCTACCTCCTTTTCGGAACATTGCAGCAACTGCTTGGCCCTCCTATGCGTACCCAACTAACGACGGCAGCTGAAGCTAACTGTACGGTAAACCGTATGGCATGGGGCAAGAGCAGACACCGTCCTGAGAAGAAGCACACACACATATGAAATAACAGCCCGCAAGCACGATAAAGAACATAAGGAAAGATAACCGAGAAGAAAACAATAAAAAACAACGGACTTTAGAAGCTACCTAACTTGAGCGCTGGCTCCATGGTGCTTGAAACTTCCGTGCACCGGAGGCGCTGCGGCTGCCCACCGTCATGCAGGAGAACGTCCACCTTGACATCGCGTTCGGTGTCAGGTAGGTCAAGCGAGTGTATACGACGTCTGAGGTGCAGCATAAAACTACCAACTTATAGTAAAAAGCATCTGTCTTAAGAAAAATACCAAAATGCCCACGAAATAGCAACCGTCTTAAGGAAAGACCAAAATGCCCATGAAACAACCGCCCTAAGAAAACTTGTGCCGGATGCGTGTCAAGCTAGGTGCACGCGCTTGACTGGGTCGAACACAAAGAAACCTGGCCGGACGGGTGCATCTTGCTCGCGAGGCCAGGCATGCTAAGCTTAAACCCCAAGCCAAACACATGCATGCGACGTTACCAGCCTGACCCGGCTCTCCTGTCATGCGCAGGGCAGCGTGTAAGAGGGCGAACGGGTATGCGACGCACACTCACCACTGAGTGGTGTCCCCGTCCAAACACGCGGCCCATGCATCATGGCCCCTGAGATTAGACGGCGCAGAGAGCCCAACACTAACAACCACGGGAGGCTAACACGAAACAGATGGCGCCCATGGCCTGGTCGTCGAGCCAGACTTGGCCCTGGCCATCTGGACTAAGCGACATCCTAGCCCA